AAAAAAAAGACATAATTCTAGGGGGGTTTATAAATCTGAGGGCCACATTACAAGTTCCACTGCTCTGCTCGTAGCAATGATACTCAGACGGCCTGTAGCAAGTTCGCTCTGGCCGACTGCTCGTCGGTTGGGAGTACACTTCCGGATCCGAGCGTGTTTTGCAAGGCATGTGCCAAGGCCAGGCCGGAGATCGAGGCCTCCTACAGCCGAGGGGACAAGATTTCCTGATCGGCTGAGGTGGTCCTGCCATGTTTTGTTTTCATCGCATTCCGGGGTTTAATTGTGTATTGCTCTCGAGTTAAATAAGAGAAGATGCCGCTCGGCTTGAATTCAGTGATTTTTATCTTTTCAGATTTTTCGGCTTCAGCTCGTGACCGTCGCTCGATCGCGAGCCTCATCATGGTGGACCGTACGGTCTACGATGCGGCAGCCACTCCGGAGCTCAGCCTGCGGCAAGTCTTCGGCAGAAACCGCCTGCCGGGCCCCTTGCGCAAGCTTGTGGCCGACAAGGGCTTGCTCAGTGTTGAGACGTTCGCTATGTTGGGAGACTCCATTGGAGCGGTCAAGACTACTATCAAGACGATCGTCGGTGACGACACCTTGCTCGGTGCCGATGCCGCAGCTCAAGAGCTGGCTTTGACCTCGCTCGCAGCTATCTGGAGAACCTGCTCGACCCTCCAAGAACACTTTGCCTCTCGGCGTGCCAAAATGGAGGAGGATCCCTCGAAGGTCCCTGAGATTCCAGGAGACGACCATGCAGAGTTCCGTGAGCAATTCGTTCTCAAACATCCCGATGTGCTGCTCCCTCACCATCGGGAACCTCATCGGAAGTTCGTTGAGCGGATCCAGCGAGACTTCTTGGTGCACGGCTCCGTGCCCTTCTACGAGGTTGGAGAGATGAGGACCCGCAGTGAGCAGGTCGCTCAGAAAAGCGGCCTGTCCAAGAACGCAGAGGATTTGCTCAAAGTGGTTACGATTGATCAACCAGCCACAGCGGCATCCGAGGCTCAGGTGATGGACAAGCTGCATGCCTTCCTAGTCGCCTTGGAGTACCTCAACATCTGCGACTTTACTCACGTCGCGGGGCCCTTGCGCTACCTCTCGGAGTTAGAAGAGTGGCGGCATGACAACAAGGGTTTGGCTTTGTTGCTCACAGTGGACTCCCTGATCAGGAAAAAGGTCTATCGTCTCAATTCAGACCATCGCAAGACCTACTCTACGTTCTCTGCAGCTCTTTTGGAGGTGCTCACCCACCACAAGCAGTTGTGGAATGACGCTCGCTCGAGTGCAGAACTCGACAAATTCAAGCAGGCGGGCCATTCGGCACCAACAACACCGCCACGGCGGACGAAGCGGGACCGCTCGGACACTCCGCCTCGACCAACTCCGACTTCACCTAAGGCCAAGAAGAACAGAGCTCGCAGAGAGCGCCAGAAGAAGTTGTTGCAGTCCGCTCGGGAACACCTTCCTCGTGACACCAAGAACAAAGTTCCTCCCAAGAAGGACGCTCGTGTTCCAGCTGATGAATGGGCCAAGATCAACAGCTTCAAGTATTCCGGTCGGAAGAGATGCCCGTGGTTCAATTGTTCCTTGGGCTGCCGTTTTGGTGATCAGTGCAAGGCGGCTCACAGCTGTGTAGAGTGTGGTAAGGACCACGCTTGGCACGGCAACCACTGAGCAGCTCACCAGGCGGGGGGGGAGTCTGCGGCTCCGACTCTCTCTCCCGCATTGCCAATCGAGCCAAGCGCCACGCATGAAGCTGCCCCCGCTCGGCTGACAGTGTCGCAACCAACACCTCAATGGCACTCGTGGGCTGACGTTCCTCGTGAGATCGACCTTGTGCGATCGGCTGGTCCATGGTTTTTGGAGATCTTCTCTGGAACGGCCACGCTCACGGCTACCGCTCGTGCACATGGGCTACGATGCTTGCCGCCAGTCGACATTACCGTATGCTCCGAGGTGCCCACACCTTTCGGTGTGGTTGATGTCGAGCAGTGGGACTTCATTTTGGCGCTTTGTCGGGCCGGTGCTGTTCGCTTCTTGCATTGTGGGACCCCCTGCAACACCTTTTCCAGCGCTCGCAAACTGGATGGAGGGCCTCCACCTCTGCGCTCGACTGAACCTGGACACACATTTCATCTGTAACCGGCCGTGATTTGGCCATATCACGCTCATCCGCTGGTAACCACCATAAAAGCCAGACACTTCCACAGAAGTTTCCAATACAATGTCCACAGACTTGAGCCAAAGAAACCTTTTAAACCATGTTCACCTACCAAAAACCAAAAAACTAACATGGTTTACAAAATGTTTCTCACACCATCAAAACAATTTAATTCATCCTGTTTATTGTTGCAGCTCTTTTTTTCGCAGACATATTCATCTGAGTCAGGTCAAAGGCTTCGCCATCGATCCGCATTCACCTGGCACGCATTGGAACTCAAAACTAAAATTTGCACAGCTCACCAAAGGTAAAACACCCCCCTGCCTGCCTCAATGACATCATCAAATTTTTGCTTCACCCCCAAAAGGTATCTGTTGAGCGTGTTGAGAACCGAGGTCTTCTTGTGACATTTTTTGTCACAGACATCACCTTTTTGAGCATGTCTTCATCCATCCAACACACCCCATTGTAGGGGTTGCGAACAACTGCATCATCCCCAGGGTCACACGACAGGAACACATGGTGCAGTAAGTGCCACTTCGGTCGCAAATGAAACAACTTGTATGAAGCAACTGCGGCAGACTCTATGTGGTGCAAGTGCAAGTATTCACGGAGAAAAAACTCTCCCATGGCTTTGATCTGTCGACCTTCATGGCTGCTCAAGAACATTGAGCCTGCAGCCATAGCACCTATGGAATAGTTTGCCGCCCACAGGAGGGAGTGCACATGGAAATTTCCACAATCTTTGTTCTCCACTTCATGCAGGAGCCACCTCATAACCAAGCTTGTATGATGGGCTTTGGCCAACAAATGGGTGGCCTGGCCACCCTTCATATTGATTTTCTTCTTGTGCAATTTCCACTTCCGTGGCACCGGAGGCAACTTATTGTCTCGCAAAAACTGCTTGAATGCGTCTGTCGCCGCTCGGAAACGAGTCTTTTGCAATCTCCCTGCCCAAAAACGGTTTCGGATGAGCAAACATATCACTGATCCACATACATCTCTTCCAACGCCCAAGAACCACACATGTAGAACATCTGGCAAAAGCCAGTTGGGTTTGAATCCTCTCAGCCGGCATAGAGCAGGGGGATCATCCCAAGGTGGGTCATTGGGATCATCAATTGTTTGTCTCCAGCCCGCTTGAGGGTGTAGATCTGTAAATGGGTTCTGAAGAGACTTTGTGGCCCGGCACATATGGCAGCAAAAATTGCAACCATAATGTCTGCAAAGAAAAGCAATTTGCTTGTGGAATTTCCAATCACCTTTGATGCCTGTAATTTCGAGACACTGGCCACTGACCCCATCCGCCAACACTTCAAAGGACTTGATTATTTCTTCCATGGCGCACATCAGCGTAACATTTTTGCCATTCTCCACAACATAATGCTCTGAAGGTATCGAGGTGATGAGGTGCCGAGAAAACCAAGAGTCTTGCTTGCATGGGTTGAGTTCTGACATCCATGTGAAAGTCATATAGGAAGATCCCAGCGTCTCACACTCATCCCCAAATAGGAGACATGGAATTGCATCATTGCATCTGGGAACCAAATGCTTACGCATATTTGCCCAGTAGTGCTCCGGCAGCTTACCCAGCACCTCCCGATAGCCTTCAGAAACCAATGTGGCCACCTCAGAGCAATTCTATTTCTGGTGGTCAAGTCACAAGTTTTTCAATCAAACTAAGACACCAACAAAATCATGCGGTAGCAAGAATGGCCAGCTGGCAATCGAGATCTCTTCTGTATCTGGGTCAAGGATCGGGATTTGGCAATATGTAATTGGCACTGGCCAAGCAAGTCCATGTTTGCGTAGCCGATTATGGGTCCGCGCTTCTTGTTCTCGCCTGCCACAACACAAAGCATTTAAGGTTTACAGCTTACAACTTTCAAGAAAAGGTCACACGGTCACATGTTTCATTTAATAGCAACTTTGCCTGCAAAAAATTTCTGAGCCATATGACTTGCCAAGGTCAACTGAAGTGCTGAAGCTCAAAGACCCTTTGCCAATGGCACTTGAAATCCTGCAGAAAAGCACTGTGAGAGTAAACAAACTCTGAACGGCCGTCCTCGAATCCAGTGTGTTTCGAAGATTGCTGCATGTACATCTGGCGGAAAGCATCAGCCAGCCAAACAACACCAATGTGAAGCAGCGCAGCAGCAAGCACTCTTTTGCAGGGAAACCATCGATCTTTAGCAAAACCTTGTTGCCTCGAAGCCAGCACTATCCGCAGCAGGTCCCCACATGTCATATTGTTTGACTGGCTTTGCAACTACTAGCAGCAACGTATCGGAACTGCCACCCTTGTGCTTTGCACAAGCTACCCACAGCAGACCTAACCTACACGCGCTGCTTGGCCCCTGAACCAACAACTTAAACAAAGTCAGTATTCATGTGAAAAAGACCCGTTAGCGGATGACCAGTTAGCCATACTAGTCCAGAGACCCCTGCAGAGATTCTAAGGCCACATCGGCACGTGGCTCAAGGCTCACCCCTTTCAAAATAGCATGCCTCATCAAACATGCAGGTGGATGCCAACACACACACACCAAAAGCGGAAACCAAGGGCAAGGCTCAGCATCTACTTCCTATTGTAAGCCCTGCCAGTTGTCGCACAAAACATGTACTAAGAAGTGCAAAGCGCAAAGAACCAAACATGCCAGCCACACTTTTTGGCTTCAGAGAGAACTGCCTTGGCCTGGGCCTTGATCATCCGGGTATCATTGACCTGCCAGAAAGTAGTGAGAGTAAATGTAGCAAACATGAAGCCCTCAACGACAGGCCTCTGTAATGATTGTTTGCACAGCGCTTTGCACTTGACCAGGATCTTTACAGACCGTCACCCTGAACAATTGGAGAACTAACACACAATGATTCCCACATGCACCACACTACAAATCTAAGCAGCTGGCTGATTGAACAGCTTCGTCAATGTTTGCACCTGCGTCTTCATATCACCTGCAAACTTCTTGAAATCCATGCAATCCGGATTGTCAGGAAGCTGGGTGAAGTCCAAGAGGATATTGTTGATCGCAGTGATCTCCTTCTTGAGCTCACCACCTAGGCAACACAGATGAACACTAGCAGAACAAGTAGCTAGGATAAGTTCCTGGCGAATCACAGCAACCTGCTCTTCCACTGTCTTCTGTTGCTCAACCTTCACCAGCAAGCCCTGATCCTTCTTGTCCTTGGCTACCTTGTTCTTTGCCTTTGCCTTGGCCTGCACTGCTGCAGGCTGTCCTGCAAATAATAGGGGGAACCAATACTCAAAACAAACCTGAAGACAGCTGATGCAGCAAAACACAAAACTCCTGCGGGTTGAGTGATGCCAGCGCCATCTTTGACAAATTTAAGGATATCTTGGGTCGCTGGCGCCTGGCTGGGATCCAAGCTCATCCCCGTAAGCCTCTCAAGTCGAGCATCTGAGCCTGTCAAAACACCCATGGCACTCTGGGCATCAACATGAGCCGTCAGGTCAGCGACTCTCTCCAAGCTTTCTGTTTCTGTCCGCTTGCGGCTAGTCACCGCCCAGTATGACATGTCCTCAATTGATGTAGGGCAGTCTTGGTCAGCAACACCTCCACCCCTCCGGACAATGGATTCAATCTTTTGCCTTAAAATGCAAAGAAAAATCATTAACATGTATGGACCGCAGCATGGAACACACAAGCATCAGCTAGTGTACAGTGTTTAAATTGCTGTCCAAGTACTCGGTAAATCCCCGGACCCGCATCTGAGCAACCGTAAGCAGTTCCATCGTGGAGACACCTTCCCGCTTTTGGGACGCAACAACCTTCAATTTGCACTCGATTGCATCCGGATCACCTTGATTTGACACCCACTGTTGGAACAGCACATCCTTTTGCCCTGAAGACCACATCTTCCCCATCTCAGGGAATTTGACCATCTTCTTAGCATTATTGCAAAATCTGCTCATCTTGGCGTAGGCCGCAGGGTGTGTGCGGGAATTGATAGTTGCTGCAGTAGACAGCGGAGGTTCAACCTTTTCAACCAAACCAAGGGGAAGGTCAGGTGGCTGTGGGGCACCCTGCTGAGGCTGTGGCAAGGCAACCTCAGGCACCTCAGGCACCTCAGGCATTTTATCTGCAGGCTCCTCAGGTTCTTCATCAACAACTTCCTCCTGGTAAGGAGCATCCACCAGAGGGAACTCTTCCTCAGGCTCCTCATCCAAATCAATTTCCACAGGATGCTCATCTTCCAAAGCACACTCATCTTCAATCTGGGTGTCATCAAACGCACCACACTGAGCTGCTGCAAGTTCAGCCGCGCTTGCCGGGATGGTTTCCTGGCTTTCAATGCGATCAAACCTCAATGAACCAGGAATCATCATACTTGAACCAATGGTTTGGCAAGGACTGGCTAAGTTCAATGCCGCTTGTCATTCTTGTCAGTTTGTTCACCGACCATGTTCAATCCACGGGCCAAAGTGTCTGTCGACCTCAGCACAGAAAGCAACTACAAAGAAAAATTGTCATAGCTCTCTAAGACGCCAGCTTGCCACGGAGCAATTGGTCCTGCAGATCTCCGCTGACAAGGGCAAAATAGACAATGTTTGGAAAACAGTCCTTCACATTACTTCCAGCAGACTGCTTCTCCGACTCATTCAACTTATTCAACTCAGGCGCACAAACGGACTTGGTAGCACGCCCAGAAGCCGAACTCTTGGCTGCTGCCTTTGCACTTTTGGTTGGCTTCTCAGCCGGAGGTTCCTTTGGTTTTCTTTCGCGTTTCTGCTTTTTTTTATCTCCCTCAGGAACAGCATCCTCGGTAGAGAGAGTAGTGTCTGGCTTCTTACGACTCCTCCGCTTTGGTTGTGCTTCCTCTTGCCTGGTCGCGCCTCCAATCAAACTATCCAGGATGAGCTGACACTGATCAGCTGACAAGCCTGACAATTCAGCCAACTGCGCTGCAGTCGGCTGGGTGTCAGCATCCTTGAACGCTTTCAAAGCCGCCTCCATGGCCCAGGATGAAAGCAAAGGCAAGTAGATCTCTGAGCACTAGAAAATCTTCAAAATCATCAGAGGCGCTCTAAGTGCCTGGATACATCCAAAAGTCCTTTAGCTGTCGGAAAGGTTCAAAAAGGTGTCGGAAAGGTCCCAAAAGTGTCGGAAAGGTCCCAAAAGTGTCGGAAAAGGTCTCAAAAGGTGTCGGAAAGGCTCCAAAAAGCGTCGATGGTTTTTTGTGGTTTTTACGCTGTTTTCACGGGTTTTTACGCTGGTTTCGACGCTTGTGCGCGCGCACACCTTTTCTGAGGACCCAAAACACGGCTACACATTCTCAAAGCCATTCCAGCTTTGCCCAACCCTGAAAAGGACAGAATCTATTACTTTGTAACATCTGCAATTACAGCCATTTCTCAAGCCACTTTCTTGTAGCTTCCCCCAAAGTCACTTCCCACCGTCCAGTGGGTTTAAAATGCTGAGATTCAAGCAAGTATTTGATCGGAAGATCAAGTCGAGCCTCAATCGCCCACCAGTTGTCCACATATGTATACACATATATATACATACACAAGTTTTCTTGTATTCTTAGGCGCTGGCTTTCTCCCAGCCATCAATCTCCCCAAGATCCATGGCCTGGCAACACCACACTGTGGACAACATATAGTAGAATCCAAAAACATCGCCTTAAACAATTCGAAATCCGTGGCCAGAACATCCAATTGCTGACATTCAATACGGGGACATTTTGGGAGCACCTGCAACAAATTTGCATTCATTGCCAAGGTAGAGGTAATCTACACGAAAGGAACTGGGGTTCTGGCAGGCCAGTCAGCATTCTGCCAGGCTTTTTTGAGGATCAGTGCCATATGAACTCCAAAGCATTCAGCATATTGCCTCAACAGAAGACAGGATTACACACTCGCCCACAATTGAGGGGAAACCTGACCATCAAAAGTTGGGGCTAGCTACTGGCTGATAGTTAGAACTGAACCAGCTCCACTCCAAGAAATGGTGCCATCATCTTTGCGACGGCGTTTGGTCAAAGGCTCCCCCCTAAAGCGCTTCAAATCACCAGGCTGAAGTTTTCCAGACACTGCTGCAATCTCCTGGAGCAGGCGCCAGTCATTGGAAAACAGTTTCTGTCGCTTGGGCGTGAACTTGAAGAAGTGATAAAGTCCATGCCAAAGACCCACACTCCACACCTGCCCAAACTCAACCCAAACGCACCAAAAACAAAGCCCGACATGTCCAGCAGACTGGAAGAGCTAGCAAGCCTGCCTGAATGTGAGTCACCAGGTTCACAAAGGAATGGTGGATCTCAAGCACCGACCCTTGTGGCTGTTCTATCACAAACCTGCACCCCAAGCAGGCTGCCAACAGGCAAAGCAACATGCTGCGCCACGCCAACAAGTTGCCCAATTTTATGCAATCATACCCTTCATTACCATCAGGGTATAAGTAACTCCTCTGATGTGTCCCACTTGACCTGAGAATGCGCAAAACCACAGAAGCAATTGGACTCACCAAACCTTTCAATTGAGGTTCTCACGGGCGACAAAAACTGGAGCACGGCAAAGCAACCACTAGCAGCCCATTCTCCTTCAGTCTCTTGACTTCAGAGACTGCCAGCCTAAATGCAAACACAGCGTTCAGATAGTATCTTCTGATGCATCCTGCGCAGCCCCAAAACCTTGCACTGAGCCACCAACAAGAAGCCAGCCGAATCTGAAATGTCAAACGCTCTTCCAGCAACATCGTAATCACGGTCCAGGCTGGTTCCAGTAAAACCACCAGCCTGCCAAGCATCAACAAACGCAGAAGACAAGCGCAGTAAAGTTTGCAAATTCGCCTTGGTATCACAAGAGGGTCCAGCCTTCCGTAAGGCTTTGCTGAGCCAAGCTGCCCCTGCATAGATCTCCACGAAGTCACGGTCCTGCTCGACAAACCAAATTACCCAAGGGTTTATCAGTGTTATTTACCAGCCTTATCAGCGGGAACCAATGGAGTCTGTGAAAGCAAAAGGCAAACCAGGATCAGGCTGGCTGGAAGCCGCCACTGGAGCATTCTCAAAATAGACATTACAAGCTACTGTCCAAACTAACTGGCACAAACGGCGCTCGGAAACATCCATAAAAGCCAGCAGCCAAGAATCAAACA